ATTTGGCGTTTATGTCATCTTATAGAGTGCATTTAGCACAACCTCTACCAAACGTTTAAGGGGAAAAAATGGAGCCATTTTTGAGAAAATCTTGTTTGTGTCATGTTTTTAAATTGCACATATTGCACGCAATATTGCGCGAAAACTACTGAAATTTTAAAAAAATGTATATAACCTTAATGAAAGAACTCAATATGGAAAACACATTTTATTTGAAGGAAAAATCTCTCTTTAATTTGTAGTTGTACTCTAGACTGTATATTCCGATTTTTTTTAAGTGGCCGATGACATTGGTCATTGTTACACCTCCTGCCTTATAAATTGAATCTTTTTAATCGTGGTAAGCACATTTCTGAGACAACGTTGAGCAGGTCGTTCACGAATTAACTAAAAAGATTCATTTCATAAGGCAGAGGTGTAAGAATGACCTAATGTCATCAACCACTTTTTAAAAAATCTACGTTTTTTTAATAGGTGCCGCTGTGTGGCGCAGCCCTGGCGCCAAGTCAACCGCCTCCCTTCGGCGGTCCCCTCCCCTCCATGTGAAGGGAGCGAAAAGCCGATCGACGCTCTCGGAGGAATGCTGCAAAAGAACGGGGTCGTTTGCCGCGCGTTACGTCTGGGTCGGAGGAACCGACCGCTTTTTATGTGGAAATTGAGGCTGAGTGGAACTTTTTCCCTCCTCGCAGCAACCAGGAAACGAGATTATATCTCAATGGCCGTTTGTCTACCGTTATGACCGAAAAGAAAATAGAGGAAGTTTGAAAAAGAGAATGAGGAAAAGTCAGGCATTAAATGTGCGACATCATTATGACCATGCTAAGAAAATAAATATGGAAATCACTTTTTAATTTAATTTTTTTATACGAGACAATTTCAACTAGTGTTGCCTATTTCCTGTCCCAACATTCATGAACTAATAGACCGATCCATGACAAGTTTAAGCTCCACTAATCTTCCTTGCTAAAGTTCTTTTCTACTCTTCAAACATCGTTTTGGACGCCCAGAATGATATTGTGTTTCTGGGATGTATGTGGACACAGCCCTGTAACAAACCAGTAAGAAGTTTTATGAATTTTGGCAATATATACTGAACATTTTCTACTTCATTCACTGAAGAAATTTAACATAAACTTCTCAAAGCAGATTTAAAAAGTTGAAAACGACGTTTTTATAGGAACTGGAATTATGGCTAATTTTTACGTTTTAATTGAAGCGAAAAATACATTTTCGCGCAACGAAACATCCCTTTTCACAACATACATTTCATCTACTAGAATAAGAGCCTTTTGATTACAATCTCAAGTGCACGAACAATTTATATTGCTCTAAACTATTGTAAAGAGAGGAGAAGTCGGGAAATTATCATAATGCTTTTTTAGCGTTTACTTATTATAGGGGTAATTGTGAATTTAGAAGTCGATTCATTGCCCTTCAGAGTATGTTAGAATTATATTAGCTTTAAATTTTCCAAATTGAAACAAGTAATTTTATCTTTTTCAGGCTTTGCTGATATTTTTCTTTCTGTTCTCGTATCTTTTTTTTTATTTGAACTCTCTTTCCTTTCTCTCACTCTTTTTTTTTGCCTCTCTTCCTCACGTTGAATTTTTGTTTTGTAATTTAATGTCGCATCAACACCTAGGCCATTAGCGACCCCTATTGCATTTAACGGAATGGCAACTGTGAAGGGTGATGAAAGGGGACGAAAGGAAGAACACAAATACAACCATGCCCGAGGCGGGGCTCGAACTCGCGATACTTCGTTCCGACATTGCTACGGCACTACTGCCTTATCGATCTCGGTCATCCGGATCGGCTGATAATTTTTATTATGAAACTGTATTCGCCAATTGTTACTAACCACTAACAATTGATATTAATTACCACTACTAATGTTTTTCGAATTTATTGAGTTTTATGAATAGTACATTCATTTTCTAATTACACCATTTCTTTCTGTAATTAAGGCATTTATTGTTAATATATTTTGTTGAGTTGATCAAATATTGATATTTACTAGAAATTAATTTGCGGAACGAAACTAAAAGACACACATTTTCCAATTTATTGCATGCGTTACTTTTGATATAAAAGAGTAAGTTTAGATGCCCAATATCATGTTGCACTTATAATTTCGCCTTCCTCTGAGATGTAATGCTAGGTGGAAAATATACACGAAAGTCATTATTTTGTAAGTACATTAAATTTTATGGTTGTAAATCATAGCCTATAGCACTCCTGGTCTTCAAGGGGAGCTAGGGGGATAAATCATCGATTTTGGTTCAGTATATTCAGAGGTTATTGCGCTGTAACCCATCGCCTTTGTGACTTTATATATTCGTATAGAGTATAGATATAGGTGTAGATGTGCAGAGGACGTTATAAGGGTCTAATGATTGAGCGGCTTCATAAAGTCCGAGAGGCTTTCATCGCTCGATCATTAGAACCTTCACAAATTCCACGGTACAGAACATATATTTTTACTTCATTTTAATTACTCAGATTCACTTATTTATATTATATTATTACTCAGTTATCTAGTAATTAAATGTAATTTGACTCTGTTTGTAAAATGTTCAATTGTATCTTCTCTTTCATATATACCTCCTATAATTCCCTTTCATAATTCTCTCCGTAAGAGAGCATGTAGCGTCAATCAACTGTTTTCATTTTTTCCTGGAATCCACTATCGTGCCGATCCAGGGAAGTTAAGCAACGTATATTGAGCTTCGTATTGAAGACGATAAGAAGCAATAATGTCTCGGTAAAACATAAAAGAAATTATGTAGAATGTCTTATCTGGCAATATACCAATTTACGCTTCAAAGTAAATGCATCACTATATCATGTACGGTTTTTTACGGAATAATGTCAAAAAAATTGTTTTATGAAATCCTTTTTCATAAATTGAAAAAACTAAGAGACATAAACAAATTTTTAATATAACTGGAATATCGTCGATTAATGGGAAGCAAATGAAGGTGCGGAGAAATCAAATCGCGCTCTCCTGTATAAATGTTGTTTGTGTGTGTGTGTGTGTGTGTGTCACAAAAGTATTCCGGAAAAGCGACATTTTCCCATAATTCAACGCTATCGTAACTCATTTCGGAAACAAATATATTGAAAACTTTCCCTAAATCCAGACAATTGTTTAAAACTCCAAAATTTGGCCAAACGATCAGTCCCTTAAGATACGATCAGAAAATATAATTTTTTACGAGTTACATGACTTCATGGCAAGGAACAATTGATGATGTAGCGTAGGTTACTAAACAAGCGGGTTTTGTTTAGAGAGACTGTATTGAGTTCACGAGTTGATAGATGTCTGAATGTAGGCCGGAAATATTAACGTGACATTCTCGTTTTAAAACCCAATTAGTAGCGACTTGTTATGGAAGTTAGCATTTAGTATGTAAATAGTTTAGCTACATTATGTATGTATATATTTTAAATAAATCTGTAGAAGCTAGATAAAATCAGTGTAACACAAATAAACACATTGAAATACCGGGACAGCAAACAAAAAATTTCACAAGGCTGCAAAGTACCTTGGCGCGGCTCTGCTTATTGTTCCGCGGTGAAAATGCAACAGCTCGTGAAAGTCGCTGGTGTCATTCCTGGTTACTATTGTGCCGAAGCCCGTGAAGTGATTTTACAATTACCAACAGTGGCAGGTCACTCTTTTAAAAATATCATAAAAGTTCGTGACAGAATAAACCCTGATTAGCGTGATGCTTTGGGGATGTCAACGTAATCGTACTTTTCAGAAGACTTACATGTTATACGGGCGAAAAATGCTAATCGGTTTATAAAAAGTTATACAACTCGTTATAAAACGCAAAACGTTATAATATGTTTAATACTCTTTACATTACACTATTTCCTCCAATTGCAGATATTCATTTCATGGGATGAATGTGATGAGTGGATGGATTCAAAGGATTCCGTTCTGTGACCTCTGGGAATCGTCCACTTTCTCCCCGCACTGGGTCGGTGACGCACGGACAGACGGGACGAACGGGATATTTTAAAAGTCTATTACATTGATATCCGTAAGGGTGCGCGCACTAGGACGGAACGGAAGGGAACGGGACGGAACGGGACGGGACGGGACGGGACAGGACGGAACGGAACGGAACGGGACAGAACGGGACGGAACGGGACAGAACGGGACAGAACGGGACGGAACGATCCGCTCTTCCCGCCGTTTTCAAAAAGGCCGAATGAAATATCTTGTGGACCTACGTGCCCATGACGTCATAGGCACAGTCGGAAGGACCTCTGCGCCGTTTGAATTGTGAGGTTACGAGAAGCTTGTGGAGCGATCATGAATGCGTCTAATTTAATTATGTTGATCCAGAATTATCCAGGGTTGTTCAGTGTGATATTAAGTTTTATTTAGTGTATTACCTAATTAGGTGTAATTTAATGAGTTAGCTAATCGATCGGAATCAGGAAGTAACATTTGCCAATTTTAAATTTCTAGGTATTTATAAGAAGCTGTGCAGCATTGGCGAAACTTAGTTCATTTGTGTACGGTGAATAAACTATATCATGTTGTAAAATAATTAATATATTAATCAATCTAATTTTTTGTGTCTTTTCGTAAGTTTCTAAATAAAGTTAAGCAATTATAACTCCGTCCCTTAGTTCACTTTAATTGTGTTAATCACAATATCTATTTATATGTTATATTTTTTTTAAATATCCAATTTAGCTTCAAATTTATCGTGAAACATCCTAAAGAACAAATAATTTTTCATTTCCCACCAGGACGGAATGTAATATGTGAAATTATCCTTTTGTCATTATCGTTCTGTTTAGAAGAGCATTTGGACTTTCTTCGACTCCTTGACTAATGTCCTCCTTCTACTATTAAAGATGAACCCAATGTGACTGCTTCTTTACTTACATTATGAAGCCGTCGCGCACAATACAAGACGCGGAGCGAAGTGCCCATGTCGTCCCGTTATAGTGCGTGCGACCCACACAAAACCTGCCGTCCGTCCGGTCCTGCCCGACCGGCCGTACCGTACCGATCTAGTGCGCGCGTAGCTTTGCTGTAACAGAGAGAGCGCCGTGGCAGCTGACTGAGAAATCAAATACTGATGCGAGTTATTGCGTTACATACAATGGTTTATTTTTTCGAGATAACTCACTGAATCTACGTCACCTAAATTGAAGTTAGGCTGCAGTATAAATTCTCGGCGTTTGTTTTTGGTCCGTCAGTGCAGAGTTGTTGAGAGTTTGTTTAGGTTGGTCATTTTTCATTTTGGGACAATGTTGTGTTTGTAAACAGAATAGCATTTTGCAGGTTTCGAAGAAGTTATCAGTATTTGGAGGCTAAAGAAAATGGAGTGACAAATGAAAATAATACGATGGCTCCCGATATGTGCTCGAGTTCAATATGTTTCTCGAGTAGAAAAAAAATGGCATTGAATTGAAAAATTGAAAATTTACGTGAAAATTAAAAACGAAATAATTTTATAATGCCATAAATATTTGAAATAATTTATTTAAAGAATATCTAAAATATGTTATGAAATAAAAATTTTAGTAAAACTAGACGAGAAAAGGGTGTAGACGATGACTTCTTAGGTTTTAACAGGTCCTGAACCTTTGGTAACAGTAAGAATTTTTTCTTTTTGCTTTAATGTGCCAACAAATAACTATCTGCACACATTTTCTTGAGCTTTCGGTGTGCTAAGGGCAGGGGAAGAACGAGATTAGTGAATCGTGAAAGTGGTAATATCAAATTAAATCTGTAGTTTACCGATTCTATTACACACAAACAAACATTTATTGTTAACAAATGACACCGACAGCGTTAATTGTTTTTGTTTGTTTGATAATTACTTTTCATCATTCTATATTATTTTCAGCAAAAGCTTTGATTATTCTTCAGAACAATTACAAATAAAAACAGTACTACAAAGTAGACTCATAGATATTGTTTCCATAGACAGAATAAAATTTGTCATACCTTAATAGAAGCTGTGTAAAAAAATAAAACTAGCAACTGAAGGACACCATCTCCAGTCTCTCCCAGAATAAAATCAATGGAGTAACCTAAGTTGCTTGTTTTCATTTTTCATGTAATACTGAAAATAAAAAATGTTCCTGTCCTGTCCTATGGCTCAACTACCCACTTCGGGGCTTGGCCGACCAGCGGTGACCCAGCCTCTCGGCCATGGGATAAGAGGTTCGTGTGGATTGCACAAATATGTTCCTTCGCCGTATATTCTGGTCTTCATAACCTCAGGGTAGGCTTTCTCGTCGTCACACAGAAATAGATACTGGAACTTTTTAAAGAAAATTGCACAGTTATTTTGCTCCGGCCGGGAATTGAACCCGGGGTTGCGCCGTGAAAAACGAGCTAACCAGCAAGCAACCGAGGGCTAAAATGTTCAACCCAAAGAAATAATACTGACAAATTGAATAAAAGTATTGTTAATGTTTTGGAAGAATTTGCAGCACAACTATGCTTCCTGTTTACAGCCTTGAAGCTAATTAAAGCACTTAATAATATAATTTAAATACGTTTTAGTGTATGCAGATATGATGCATACTATACGTCAGGTCAGATCTGTATTTAATAGAAAATAGTAGATTTTACAGAATAAATAAGAAACCTATAGGACTATATAAATGATTCATATGGTTTACTTTAGTGCTTTAAATCATTTTATTATTTACGATGGATGTGTAACTCGACAGGAAACAAATTAAAGTATGTCCTAGGGCAACAATCAGTCTCAAAAGGTCCAGCTATTGTTTTGCAGATTTTTCAACAACATTCCTTTAAAATAGATTTTAATATCTTTTGTGTTGGCTAGGCTATCCGGGACGAGCCGCGTCAATGTCATTTTGGCTATCGTGCTGGTGAAGCAGCACGCTCTGAAGAAGGCCACAATACGCTGGCCGAAACGTTAGCCACCATGACATTGACGCGGCTCGTCCCGGGTAGCCTAGCCAACATAAACTCCGGCCGCGGAAGCCTACGCAACCTTCAATGTCGTTTGATTGTTTGGTATTGAAATTTTAGTAGGTAGCGAGACATTTGTTGCATCAAGTTTGCAAAACTCGCTCTCTCGCTATCAATAAATTTGTTTTGCGAGAAAAGTGAATATTTCGCTCTCTCTCCGTCGAATGGCAGGTATCCACTGCCGGGCGATAAGTTTGCCGCGTACTCTGTTGATCTACTCGACCGATAAACTCTCAAATCGAAGGAAACTCAAAATGTTTTCTAAAACGGAAACATCTGAAATACTTTATAATGCAAGCGATTCAAAATTTTCGAAATGGGCGATGGCACTCCTTCAGCCGAGGTTAAGCTCTTGTTTGCAATACGTAAAATGTTTACTTGTTTCGCAAGAAATTATTTATTAGTCACTTTTACGTGATTTGTGTAAAAAAATGTGTTTTATTGATTTTACAAAAGGCATTGTGTCACATTTTACAAGGAAACACAGTTTAATGGTTTGGGTGAAATAAAGGTTTTAAAATTAGTATAAATACATTTTCTAATACCAGAAAGTTCATAGTTAGCACCATAGTTCAATAAAAAACAAATTTACTTTTAATCCAACTGCATAGGTACTAATATTGAACATTTAAAAATCAACCCTCATTGTGTTTTAACATTGTATCTCTAGCTGTTTACACATTTGTATTCATTGCTACGTTTAAGACGACTTGCAGGTTAGCTTTTTCAAATAACGTGGCGCATGCATCAAGTGGTTTAGTGAATATTTATCAGCTTAAACTTAGTCTTTCTTGTTATATTGGGTGAGATTTTATTGAAGAATTTAGTAAATGTAACGCTGTAATTGTAAAGTCATTTCATAGTTCTGACAACGCACTTAGTTTTTGACAAAATATTTTGGGCTTCGAAAATTGTCGAAGTTTGATTGATGGTACAAAAATTTGTTTTGTGGTGTGATTACAAATAAAAATATTCATTGCAAATTTTAAATTGTAAAAGCAAATACTACTAGTATTTACAAGAAATTCAGAAATATATTTTTTATTTTCTACATGCCTTCATTTAACTTGAAACTAAAGGTAAACAAAAACCGTATCAGTCGTACTTCGTAAAAGTACTGAAAGAGAAGAGCAGTCAAGTAATTACGGACTTACTTCGAAATGTAGTTAAATGGAATTCTTTAAAAAATTGGAAACAGATCATAATTTAATAGAGAGAAAGTGAGTATAAGAAGCAAGATAACTTCCGTAAATAAGAGGAAATTAGTAAACTCATTCAATTACGAACTGAGATCAGAGGTCAACCTAATTTTTCATATATCGTTTTACATAAAAATAACAATAAATGTAAATTCTATTCCTAATCATAATGGTTTTCTTTCGCCGCAACCTCTAACATTACTTTAAATACAAAAGTTATCAATTGTAGTTTTATAATTTTTTTCTGTAATGTTCGAAAAGATGAACTACGACATCAAATAATTTGCCAATAACAATTAAAAAAAGTGACACCACACACAATGTTGTGGAGGATTACATATACAGAAAAGAAAAACCATCCATTCTAGTAAATTTAACAACAGACTAACTACCGTGAACAATGAAGCGACATCTGATTCTCAGATAGTATTGATGAAGTCTTGGTCAGTTACAGAACCTAAAGATTTTTCGTATTGGATGCTTAAAAAAAATAGATTTGAAGATGCAAAGTAAGTGTATTTAAAGCTAGCTAATAAGTAGTGAATGGGTATCAAGTAGGTAAGTATTATTAAAACAATTCTAGCTGCTTTGCCAAACCATGCAAAACTAAATCGATGAAGAAGCGCAGTTTTTCTATAAGATTTGTTTTTCATTTCTAGAAAGTATGACGCCGGTTTTCTTTGTTCATAAAGCGGAATACTAAATTTTATTTTAACTAATGTAATTTCTTTACAATAGTTTTTTAATTGTTAAAGTAATGGCACTCTTAAACTTACTTTCATTAGATAAAATATTTAAAATTATTCAAATATAATTCGAGAGAAAAATAATAATATTGTAAACTAACTAACAAGTATGGACTTCGTATTGTCACAACTAAGGTAATATGTTTAAATGGCTATTTTTATTAGAACTATAGGAAATGAATTCATAAAAATTAGTACTGATATTAAAAACATTATTTTCCGTGTTGGCGATAAATTATTTTAAAACATATCTCAAAATTTCCAATAGAAATTGAAGAGTATCCATCATTAATTTCACTCGCTACGTCTGATGTAATTTTGCAATGCGTTAGAGCATGATTAGTTAGATCACGATAGATCACATTAGATCATCAATATTAATATATTTTAAAAGTATATGAGACGAAATTTTAAAAAAACTGTACAGTTTTTCACTAATTAGTACTTCTTTGTTAAAAGAAACATCTTTGTTTATCTTTGATTTAAGATGTCTGAATAACTACTGAATTTCTAGCATACATTATGGCTTAAATTATTGATATACTTTTACGATGGTTTTATGTACAAATAAAATATAATACAAATTAATAATAAAAAAATTGACTTTTGACATATATTGCAATATTTAAGGGCAAACGCAGAATCAGAGAAAACATTTGAAATAGTAAAAGTTTATTTTTGCAAAATAAATAGAAAAGTACATTCACGAGCATTTAACTAAATCAGTGTAATATTTTAATAATCACCTTATTTTAAGAAATTTATTAATCAGTTAAATTTTTTTGAAACTTTCTGGAGATATATCTGAGATCTATTGGAAATTGATGATGTGATACATCAACAAATTAGGTTCATTGTCTAAAATAACATTAATCAACATTTTACAAAAGAAATAATTTAATTATCACAAGTACGTTTAAAGATATAACATTTTAGCTGCAACGTTGCAACTTAAAATGCCATTTGTGGAAAAGGCCATTTAAACCTTTACCGCAAAGAGCCATTGCCATTCATACAGAAAAACTAAAATAATTCAAAACCGAAAGCTGATTAAAAAAGTGGCTTGAAGCATTTACAAGGAAATAAATCAGATTATAATAACGGAATAATTAGTAAATAGAAAATTTCAT